AAACATCACATTTTCATTTTTGGGTGAACTATCCCTTTAAAGGGAACAATAGTATTTAGGCTTGGCAGCTTTATTGAATACAGAAATTATTGTGGGTTTTGTTAATTTGTCTTGTGTTTTTGTTTTTCTTCTGTTTAGTACATAAACTAAGAAGAGTTTAGTACACTTTCAACACCCAACCTCACATAACTCAATAACAGAGCTATTATACACATCGCAACTTCAATAGAACATGACTCCACACATCCACTTAATGAGTATTTAGCCCCACTGCCCTCAGAGCACAGGTACAGGGCTATGAGGTGCAGCAGGACCCGTTTTGGAAGAAGCCTGATTCCTTCAGCCATCACATATCTCAACAACAGACATCGCTGAGGGCTATCTTAGCTGTTTTTTTGTATTATGTATGTTATGTTGTGTGTGTCAAACAAGTTCAGTGCAGTGGAAAATAATTTCCCCTTTGGGGACAATAAAGTTAAAGTTAAAAAAAAAAGTTGCAAATGATGCATATTTTAAAAAGACATCAAGATTAAAAAAAAATGGTCTTTATTTATAGTTAGCAAACTCAAACATTGACTTAAGTGAAAATTGCACTTTCATATTATAGATGCGAATTCATAGATACTAAACAAGGTAATATTACATATAGTGAAAAGGGATGATCTGGAATGGGTTCCCTCTCAAGCATACTAAAATAGTCTAAAAATATCAAAGACAAAATACACAATGACAATAATATACCCAATGGCCTGAAGAATATGTGTGTTCATTCAAATAACGGTTTTCCTATGAATTAACTAGAACACAGTCCATTTCTACTCTGCCTTTCCTTGGGACATGCAGGGATTTTCCCTGCTTTACATACTTTTGGCCAATAAACCCAGTGATATCAGCGTTGGTTGCCATGCAACAAAGAGGCCTGTTCGACTTCCTGGGGTGTTACGCATTCTGGGGGGAAGGGTTCATGGGTCCTCGTATGGCTTGTTAACTGAGGGGGGTTACAGAGTATTTGTTAAATATAAAAACAAAATATATATCGTGTGTTTGATTGGTCCAGACGCTACATATTATAGATAATTTAGCTTTTGTTTATGGGGAAATGCAGTTGTAAAAATACAAAAGATTATTACATTGACCTACCTTAAGTAACATTTTGGCTTACGTATGTCTAAAGAAAATATATAAATTAATTATAGTCTTTATAATTATGAATAATAATAAATAATTGTTATACATTGTATGAATGATTTTGTCTTTGGGAAATTAAGTACTTTTGATTAATATTAAATCAAAATTTAAGGTTTGAACCAAAACCATAAACACAATTTAAGAAAAGCTAATATAGTTGGCTGATACATTTTCAGTGTATTTACAAAACACAATTAATTTGATTATATAGTAAAATCAATTCATGTCTCATCAAGTGTTTACAGTAACCACAATAATAAAGCAACAAGCATATTTAGTGTATTTCTTTTTTTGTTACTACGAATTGTTGTTTGACTTTTATTATCACTTTTTCAGACTAGTCAATATATTCCTCAAAAAACATTACAAGTGTCATTATTAGAGGTGTGCTTTAATTTAACTGAGAGGTCACTAAAAAAATCAGTTCACTCACAGAATATCTGTTCAAGTCATTTCAGTCTCATTGGTGATGATGTGATTGAGTTGTTAACAGTGCAGTTAGTTCACTTCCAACCAGTTTGACACGATCAGGCTGATTCACAAACTGGTTTCCAACATGAAATTCCCTGATATTATTGAATATCATCACCTTCACAGAGTCATCAGCCAATTACAGCACAATGGAGGTCCTGCTTGTTCTGTTGTGCTGTTACACCAACACACACATTCACAACATGCCTCCAGAGCTCGATGAGAGTGCTACTTAAAACGGCTCATTTACACATTGTTTGATGCATATTTATTTTGCCTCATTTCTGTACAGTTATTTTCTCATCTGTTTTTCTGCTTTTCCTCCAAAGAGAAAATGCCCAGTAAAAAAGCCAGAGCACAAGACGCGAAAGAACGATAAAGATAGTCATAGAAAGAAAAAGAAGAGAGGAGCTGATCTAAACTCAGCCCAGGGTCAAAATGCCCCTAACTCAAAGAGCTCTACATTGCACTTATCTGTGTTTACTGACCAGAGAGATGCAAATAAGTGATTCACTACATTTACTGAGACTGCTTCCGCTGTATCAGAGCAGTTATAGTGCTGAATGCTGTTTTTGATGGAGTTTAATTAGTTCGGCTTTACAAAGTCAACATACTGTTATTTAAAACTTTATATGAGATCAAAATGGTCAACTGCAATTTCTAGCTCTTTCAGATTATCAAACTTTCCATCTACCTATCTACATGACTAGTAACACATAACATTACTGCAGCCAACCCTTTCACAGATGAGAGAAAGACAAATAAATTGGGCTGTCCCACTGAGAACACAGCCCTCGCAAACAGACAAATGGGACAGAAAGTGAATTGGTATGGTGGTTTATATGAGGCTTGGTCTGAGCACACTAAAGGTCACAGTCTGAAAGGCTTGCAAATACACACACACAAACTCAAACTTAATGTTGTTAGAGATATACTGGCAGTCAGGGTTAATTCAGACCATGTCTGAAGGGACATTAAGTCCCTTATATATATATATATATATATATATATATAATTTTTGTTTTTTTAACCATGTAAGGTTGAACTGCATCCCCATGTTTTCCAATTTTCGTCGTGCTGGTATCACCATACACAGACGCCACGGCCGAGCAAATAATGAGAGCTGGGACACGCTGTCTTCTACCTTCACCTGGCAGCAGAACGGTGAGAGGAGAAAAAATACAGCTCAGTGTGTGTGTGCATGTGTGTGTGCATTTGTGTCCGTGTCCCCACCGTGTGTGTTTGGCGGTGAAATGTAGCGGCAAGTCTTGCTCTGGACTGTTACCAAGGTTAGGGTTCAGGATAATGAAAGCACCATAGTGCCATGTTCTATACTCACTTTTGTACTCTAGATGAAATCCAGCAGCGACGACACTGATATCTGTATGGAAGTGCAGGTAAAGCTGGTTGGAGGTGCTGTTCAACAAGGCTGGAGCCGTTGTACCTGGAAGATAACACCAGAAAGGGGCCTGAGCAGGAAAAGTGCTGGAGTTATCACACACACAGACAGTGTGTTCTCATTCCAGCACTCACTCACACACACACACACACACACACACACACACACACACACAAACACAAGCTAAATGATGTGTTTGTGCACACATGCAGGAACAAAAGGGCAAAGGGAGGTAAGCAGCTGTTAATCACAGCGGGCGAATCACTTTCGTGAAAGACTCGCCTGTTTTGGACATCAGCCAAATGAAACGGAGTCAAGTAAAAAGGGACGGCAAAAAGGAAATATTTGACAGGCGATAGTCATTGAAGTGTGTTTCTAACCTTCTGAGCTCTCAGGGGGGAACTTTCATCACAGCACAGAGGGAAGAGTCACTTATCATCAGACTAAAAAGCAAAACAGCTACTGCCACTCTGGATTCAAAGCAGAGGATTTTCCTTCTGCTTATACATATATGGACAGACCTAATATAGAGTGTGACATCTTTAATATGTGAAGAAAATGTCATGAATACTACATAACATCCTTAAAGTTAACATGAAACAGTGCAGCAGTGCACGGAGACATTTCTAAGTGAAATGGGCGAGAAAAACTGTTGGTTGGGACTTGATTTTATCTTTCTGGAATTGGTTGGATTTAAAAATGGGCATTATGTACCAGAATAGATTCAAGCAAATGGAGGGGTGGATCAAGGGGTGAACCGATGAATTGTTCATTGTGTGTAATAAAATAAAATAATAATTCAAATACAAAACACCATCATGGTAACATGCATGGAACTAAAATGATGCAATAAACATTAATTAAATAACATAATATGTATGTATAACAAACACAGTATGTATAACATAAACACATACCTGAAAACAAAAAAACTACTAAGAAACAAAATTACTTAAACAAAATACCATCAAGCGTGAAGTGTCACCTAGGGAACTCTATGAATGTCAGATAACAGTTTTTAACTTTAGATTTTAAGTTGACTCTGCGTGTCTTTTTATTTATTTTAGATTTCATGTTGACTGGAATGTAACGTAATAGGGGTTATTTTCATCATATTTTTGACCCTTTGCCTTTTTTTTTACATTTATCATTTTAGAATATGTTTCTTTGCACCAAAATTGTTGTAACTAACTATTTTCTACCCTTTCTCTAACATACAGAATTCAACAGACTGTATCATTAAGACATTCCTGCCAAGTTGCTCAAAAAAATAATAATTTGATTTTAATAATGTATTAATAACGCTTTGGAAGTTTTTTTTTTTTTCATTGTTAGTTCATGTTAACTATTTGATTAATGTTAACAACTGGTGGCAACATTTCAGGCTGCGCATGTAAATCAATGCATTTGAAGAATGTGATTTATGATGGACGACTGTCTCTCACAACAGAATCTGAATCTGAAGGCATCACATCAGAATCTCAGGTTCCTGCAGGTTTCCCAGTTTCTTTTCTCCTTTAAGCTTATTTGCTTTTACCCATATTCTTGTTATCTCCCTGTGGGAATGAAGGTACAATTCAAATACTGTGTAAAAGTAAATAAGGTTGGAGTAAACAAGATTGTAAAAAGAATCAACAAATACTGTTTATGGTATTCAGTGCCTTAGTACGCCGCCGCATAGTGACTCACGATGAATGCTTAAATACACCCACATAGCCACGGCATGTGCTTAGAGAACCGTTTAGTTTGAGAAGAACTCTCTCTTTCAAACTCACATCTGTAGCATTTATTCATACATGGCTTGTTTATATCTTTACACAAATGCCCACAATGGTATCATGCAGCTCCCAGAAAATGGTTCCCCGGCATGTTTCGCATTTAAAACATCCTGCCGGTCTGACTGCTAATATTCCAGTCGATCCAAGTCCAAGAACACTAGACTGATAACCAAAGCCTGAAAAAAGCTCCTTTGTGCTTGAATGACTTGACTAATAATTTTTGGAGGATGTTTGACAGCTCCCTAGAGCTCATCCAGTGTCCAGCTATTCAGCGGTCTATCATCTCTATTAGGGACAAGGCAATCTAGAGAAGATCTTAAAATGCTCAGATGAGACTCGGATGAGCTTAAATGGACTTTTCCAGACAGAATATGGTACAATTACAGTAGTGAATCACATTGGATGCCAAATAGGACAAGGAGTGATGCATCCTCACAGATTAGGGGGATTTGAGAAGAAGGTTTCTTTGTAAAATACATTCCCACGATTGGAAAAACACTACAGACCGATATTCCTTCTAAGCTGAGCACTGATGTTGCTCCCGCACAGATGGAAAAAAAATTGCAAGCAGAAGGCAGACTCAGAAATGTGTGGGGTAAAAGAGAGATGAACAGGCAGAGTTTGAACTGAAATCCAACCACATGTCCATTTATTTTCAGTATGCAACTGAAGCTGTGAGAGGTATTGTGTGGAACTGTGAAGCGCTGATTAATTTGCGACACGAGCGGCACAACAGTACAAAAAACTAAAAATAAACAACAAAAAAATCTATGAATAATCTATAATAATGATCAACTATACATATTTATACAGAAATGTGCGTAAATGTAACATTCATATTACTAATAATAATTATTATTATTTTGATTATATACAATACCAGTCAAATGTTTGGAATAATTCATAATTTTATGTTTTTTTTTTAAGAGTCTCTAATGCTCACCAAGGCTACATTTATTTCTTCAACAATACTTTCCGTGAGCCCTCACTGCTGTGATTGGTCAGATGGCGCAGTCCTTTGTGATTGGTCCAGAGCCGTAGAGAGATGGCTCTGGATTGGTCTACCGCGTACAGCACGTGTCGGAAACAAAACGACCATTGCCATGACGGAATGACAGCCCTGGAGAATTGTCAATACATAGAAAAGTTGGTATCGATTGTACCTTACCAATTCGAGCCAGAGTCTGATGATGAAACGGTTGAACTGGCTGATCGACAAGAGACTGATTCGCAAGCACGACTGGAGCAGGACGTTTCTCAGTGGTAAGTGTCAAGTATTAACAAGTGTGTGGTAATTATAAGATGTGATAAAACAAATTTACTCTCACAGCATAGGATACAGCGTCTTCTCGACATGATGTAATCACACAGAAATTGTACTGTGTTTGTGGGCAGGCAAGTTGTACGTGGGCAGACATTATGCAAATGTGTTACTTTGTGACGTAGAGCCGTAACAGAATAAGGTTTGAATTCCTGACGACTCGTTTAGACGATTGCGAGCCGACTCTTTTTTTTTTTTGATAGACAATAACTTTATTTATTGTGCACTGTCGGCTTCACAACTTTGCAGATAGTTTATGTTCACATACAGCTACATGACACACTGCATGAAAGGTAATATTCGAAAAGGCATAATAGGGGCACTTTAAGTGGCCTTAACTACTATGTACTTACATTTAAATTACTAATTTGGTACAATGCACTTGGTACAATGCTACATGTTTTTACATTGTATTTATATTTGAAAAACAACATATCTGCATGTAATTACATCTGTAATTAATTTCTGTAATTACATTTATAATACACTGTTGACCCTTCCCTTACAACTTAACCCACCCTTAAACCTACCCATACCACCAAACCTGTCCCTAACCTTACCCGTTTCCCACCTCAATAGCAGCAAAAGTGTTTTGCAATACAATATGAACACAATCAATACACTTATTTTTTATGTAAGTACATAGTAGTTAAGGCCACTTAATATAAAGTGGGACCAATCATAGTTTCCACAAAAACATTACGCACCAGAAAATGGTGTTCAAAAAACAGTTATTTTAAATTGCAATAATATTTTACAATATTCCTGTTATAACTGTGTTTTTGTTTAATAAATGCCGCCTTGGTGAGAATACTTTTTTTTTTCAAAAACATTACAGTATCTTATTAGTCTACGCTTATATGATCCCAGCTCCTTTCAGCCTCTTCAGCAGAACCATATATACATATATAAAAGAAGCTGGAAGGGGCTGGGATCGCTGCTGATTTTTGTCAAATAAAAAGCCTCTGTTGGGGAAATAGTGATTATAGTCTGATCTCAACCACTTTTCATCTTCAGAATCATAACGTGCAGTCAGAATTAGGTAAATAATGACAGTGATATATTTTAAAGACACACACACACACACACAATGCATGCAGTTGTAATTAAATTGGTATTTGTTGAGCCACAATTAATCCCCAATGATGAAAAGTGCGGGGAGACAGAAACACAAAACATATCTGACAGTTTAATTAAGGGTATTATCCTAATGGATTTGTGACTAGAGGAAGAATGAAACGACCGATTGTGATGGGCGAGTGTGCGGGGGATATAACGCGCAGGCGACAGGAGAGCGAAGAGTGCATTTTAATGGGCAGCCAAACACCATGCCTAATGACACTGGCTCCTGATTCCCTGCCATGTCTTACCAATGCTCACAAATGACTCCGGGCTTGTATCATTTGGACCATTGAGATCTAAATGAGGGGAAATTACCGTTTTATCATCAAATTCAATCATAGACTGGCATCAGGTGTCTCGGGAGACCGGGTGAAGATGGTTTAGCATTTAAAGAGCTTCTCGGCTTTCGAGAATATGGCTTGGGGAAGGTGAGGAGTGCTAGACAGTGTGAAGTGCCACTGAACACATGCCTTAGAGCAGATGGAGCTCCCTGGTTGGATGACCTTTCACCAGCATGCTAGTGTGGCACAGAGGCGGAGTTCATTACAGCCGTGTTGAAAGTGTAGCTAGAGGCCTGGCCACGATTCAGTCTACTGGGAGAGTTCCCAAAAAGGTTAAGCCTCCTCTCTCAAAGGAAGATCTTGCCCCCTCTTCCTAATCCTGCTGTGAGACTTTTAAAAAAATGCATTTTGTGATGTGTTTTTCCCCCCTTTTTTAACAGCTTTATCTAATATGTCTGTATTTGGTTCGTTTGTTCTGTTTAACCCTCATTTTATGCTTTGTATATTTTAATATACACTTGTTACAACTGTTTTGGGTAGAGGTTTAGACTTGTGTGATCTTTTTTAAATCAATATCATGTTTTTAGGTTAACTGTTATATGAATGTTTAAGAGAAATCTTAGGGCATGTCACTGGCCACTTACAGTGTTCACTATTTTTAATCATATTTTTTTGTCTTCAAAAGTTAATTTTAAATGCTGGTCATTTTTACATATGCAGCCTCTCAATTCTATTAAATAAATATGGCATCGTAAATATCAACTTTTCAAAAGTATTACATGCCAACTATTAATTACTAAAAAAATAATAAAAAGCTAAACTGTACACATTAAAATGCAAGTGGTAATGGTGGCCTTTATAATACTCATAAACATTCAATCTTTCAATTTCAAACATTAAGCTTTTTGGTCCAGAACAGTGTGATAATGAATTGGGATGGAATAAATGTGGTTTTCCAACTGGAACCCAAAAAAGGGTGTAATAATTGATACTGTTAATCAACCAAATGTAAAATGAGAGCATTCATCTGTTATGCAAGGGATGGCACATGGACAGCCTTCCAGGCTGAAGCTAATTTCAGCACTTCCAAGAATCCAGGGGCATAAAACCAGTGGCAGGGATTGGCTCTCAGTTTTATTGCAATATGAAACTGTAATTAGCTATGAAGAACTACATGATATGCAAATTAGCTTTAGGAAAACTTCTGTAAATCAGATGCTGAATCACTCCAAAAGACAATTATTGAAATAAGCAATTAAAAGGGGATTAATAAAGATAATACGAACCTGAAAAGCTCCCGAGCTTTGGAGCTGTCATATCGCCACCATCATAGATTTCTAATGAGTCCCAGTTGTGCTCGGTGGCAAAACTCATGACTTGGATCTGCCAAGAAAATGGAGATATAGACATCATGAAATTTCAAAATTCTGCACAATGAACGTGAATTCACATAATGGCCATATGCTATACTTTTTCAGCATTGCTTATAATCGTAGTCAAGTTTTCTTTAACCAAAAACAGTGATTTTGTTTTATGCAACAATTCTCCACCCCCTCTCTGAACCTAAACAGGCTGTTTGTGCTACTGTAGCTTAAAGGCAGGGTAGGTGATTTGGTTCAAAAACATTTTTTTGTTATGCTGGTTGACAGTCTCTTCACATCCCAATAGCAATCACTAAGTTATATGGTCTAAATGTATTTATTTGTATTTATATTGTCTGTGGAAGGGCTAGGACCATAAACTGTTCGTCCAATCATATCCTTCGGGCCAAGGGCTACGATAGATAAACAGTCTGTTCCATTACGTTATTGTAGACCGAGTAAGAATGGAAGGCGTTATTATTGTAATATTACGCACTTTGTATTGTAATGTTTTCTCGCCGGTTAATGAGACATTGCATTCGACCATCCACCAACTGCAACTTTCTATAGTGTCAGTAGTTCAGAGCACCACCTCAAATGCTGAAATGGCTGTTTCTGTGACTGTCCAAAGCATGTGATCATGAGGTATGCGATTGGGTGTCTGTTGCCAAGCATCTAACATTCTAACATCGTACTGTTTCGAACTGTACAGATTTAGAACTGCAATGTGGGAATAACAGTGAAATGTATTTAGATTTATTTTATATTTTTTTAAAAAATGTTTACTTGGATATTTCATACAGCTGTCAGATTACATGAAAATTTTCAAGCACTGTTAATCTGTCTTAGTTCTACATTTTATTACTGACTGTTAACTTGCTTTAAATAAGGAGATTTTGAAGCTATGTTTATTCAGTGGAGAAATACTAGGCTACATTGCACTGCTTTAATTTCACTGAATTTAATTATTTTTAATTAACTGTTAATATTTAATTAATATTTTCATTTTAACGTATTGAAATACCACAGCAGTCAGGAATTTTAAAAATTATTGGTATTGAATGCATTTAATAAAAATGCAACCCAGGCTCATTGGAAATAAGAACTTGGGGCAACATTTCTGCAACAGCATTATTAACCCGTTTCACAGCAGTTTCAAAGTGAAATTTGTGAGTGAGTGGCGCTAAAACGCACGTGACAATACGTTCAATACGTGACCGAGGCCACATTTTTATTATGTTGGTACAGGCATATATTGCTGCGTTTTTATCATGTTGATTCAGGTATGTATTGCGGTGGTTCAGAATTCAAATGATGTTGGAAAATTACATACCTCATCAAAACCCAACCCTAAACCTACCCGATAGTGTTAACGAATGCAAAAGTGATATGAAAATGCATTCGCTGATGCAACCATGCTAGTTTAACTTCCTTAAACGGGGGTTTGAGCTGTTTTGTCGAATTGTAGTTCCACAGGATTCGTACCGGAGCTCTTCACCTCACAAGTGCAACGTCGTATCACGTGAGATACCGAGCAAACCTACTAGATTAGAAAACCCATACATAGGAAGCTATTTATGTGATGCTAACATTCAAAATCAGGGGCGCCAACAGCAATTTTGGGCCCTATGAAAGAAAATGAGGTTGGCCCCCACCGCACCAAACATACAAGACAACCTAGTTATCCAAAATCTTTGTCTGCAATTTACTAATACTGACCTATTACTTTTGACCACCAGGTATCAGTATTTAGTCAGAGACCTACCAATAGCCGCGGGAACATATTTTATCTGGGGGTGCTGGGGGGAAAAATGAATAAAATCTTCATATTAAACAGCCTAAACACTTATAGATGAACATACAAATTAATGAAGACAGAGTTATATGAGAACGAATATATTTGTGATTTTGTGATTTTAGCTCAATAATATTTTTTTCTTTAATATTTGTATTATTTTAAGGGAATTTGACAAAATATTAACCTTTAAATTATGCATTTATCATCTGCAATATCAGGGTGTAACCTCTAGATGCTTGGTATATAAATATAGCCCTATATATAAATACATATAAACCGTTTGATGCAGAGTGAGAACTTGAGACATAAAGCCCGTTACTTGTATCAGGTTATTCACTGATATATTTTCAGACATTATTAAAGACTACATTTAGTAAAAGTTTAAATTTAAATGTTGATTTGAAGTGTCAGTTATTATCATCGTAGTCAAATCTGGACAGAAAAAGCATTGTGTTAGGCTACTCATACTAGTTACAGCGTGATCAGTCAAAGTCATCAGAATAAATATTGGCTCAGTGTGACCAGGACAATATTTTAAAACATAGAATTGAGTGTTTACATACCATGAACAGAGACGTTCTGTGGTCGAGATGTGTATCCTATTTGAAAAAAATCTGCATTGCAATCAGCAACTAAATTGAGATTCCAGTAGCTTTACTGGCATGGAAAAAAAGGCTTTACAAAGCATTGACAGCACTTCGAACCAATGGTGTTGAGCATTATCAAATTTAGAGGCCACAATTCATAGTTTTTAGTCACGTGACTAAACATCCATAGAATTGCAGCACAAGCCTGTCAATTTTCCATTTCTTTCCAGTCCACAAATATTTAGATCTTTTGATGACCGGACTTACACTTCGTCGAATTCGCTGACATCTCTAATTTGACAGTTTACCATCTGATCTCACTCAGTGACTCTAGGCTACGTAGGATGGGATGGAACCAGGCAATGAATGGGAGGGGGGGTGGGGTTAATTCTGCTGGAAATGCAAAAATAAGCTGTAATTTTGTTTTATTTGTAACGCTTTGGTAGATACATTCATTATTTTTATTGCATTACTACTAGTACTGTTACTGCTAATAAAACAGATATCTGGGGGCCCCAAAAGTGTGTTGGTCCTTAATTGCCCCCCCACCCCCCTTAGCGGCTCCTCTGTTCAAAAGTATCAGTTTTCAGATTTCACAGCATGTTAAAATTGTTTTGAAGTCAAAAATAATATTTTGCAATTGTGCAAAAATAAGGCTTTCTTAATCTAAACTCTGGCCCTGTAAATCATACTTTGTGTGAAAAGGAATAAATGTTGTCGGAGATTTACTGCCTCTAGTGTTCATTTCAACTGGAAACTGCAGCAATTTGTACATATAGGTATGTTTTTTGAGTTTTGCTGAAATGTAGCTAGAGGCACGTATTTCAAATGAGCCTGGGTAGCCAAAATGCATACAACGCCACAATAATTTTTTTTCTTGACTTTTATTTATGGGCATGCTCTACATTCGGCATCTCTGTTGGATCTTTTACATAAAACAAACACAACTTTGAACAACACAAAGCATATTATACAATGCTAAAATTAACCTGTGTAATTCACTCCCTTGCTGCCTGCAAAGGAATCTTTTCCATCTTATCATTTCAGCAGGTGTAGCTTTACTGCATTTGATGAGTTCACATGTAGCTCTTTTGTACTTGCCTGGATACCAGCTCCTTCGGTAACAATGATTTTCCACACACAGTTCAAGCTGTTCCCATAAGGCTCCGGGAACCCGGGGGAGAGGATGGTACCTCTCCTTTCTGTCAGATTCCCGCTGCATGGGACTGTGGAGCAAAACAGAGGCTAAATGAGCTCATGCTGAGGATGGAACAGCACAAGTGCCTGAACTGAGTCCTGTGAGAAAGGCAGCAGACTCCTTTGACACAAGATGAGATTACGCTCGAGGTAGCATGAACCAAAGCCATGATAACCCTGCTTAAACATACATTCTCTGCATGAGAAATGTCTTTTTGGGAACACTTTATATTTCCCAAGAAACAATCTTATGTCTGCCTTTGTAAAGCCTAATTTTTCTAGCTGTAGATCATATTCTAAATTATTCATAAGTTAACACGATCGACAGTCAAAACTGACCTTTTTTTAATGCATGCTCCTGGTCTTAATTTGAACAATTCAAAGGTGCATGTTACACACACACACACACACACACACAGGTTTCCATGTTTTATGGGGACTTGCCATACACAGAATGATTTTTATACTGCACAAACTGAATTTTCGATCCACTAAACCTACTCCTCACACAAAACTACTAACATTTTTAGATTTTCATTTTGTATGATGTATAGGCTGTATAAACCCCCAAAAATTGTCCCCACAATGTAAAAAAAAAACTGGTATTATTATCCTTGGGGGGACATTTGGTCCCCATAATGTAATGTAGAGAATACCAGGCACACACAAACACACACACACACATTGGGTTTTCATGTTTTATGGGGTCATTCCATAAACATAATGATTTTTATAATGTACAAACTGTATTTTCTATCACCTTACCCTAACCCTACCCCTCACACAAAACTTTCTGCATTTTTTGATTTTCAAAAAAATTCATTCTGTATGATTTATAAGCTTGTCTCCTCATGGGGACCAAAAAATTTCCCCACAAGGTCACAATTTAATGGTAATACTATACTTGTGGGGACATTTGATAATGCACACACATACACCCAATCCCCCTGGTTTCTGAACCTCACATTTTGAAGAAGGAGAAATATGAGAGGTTTGTTCAAGGCATTCCACTTCTGAATACTTAATGTAAGGAACCACAAAATGGGATTTACTGAAGCTCTCTGAAATAAAAACTGACCTTTTAATGCACTTTCCTGGAGTGATTCCTTTTCAGATGACGTTAATTACTTTTTTTTTACTGCTCTCCTCCAACCACCTAACACATTCTGTTATGTGATTTTCTCATTGAACATCTTTTTTTTTCACTCTGAACTAAATTAATATGCCAGATTACAAATTATAGAAGCAAAATGGCTTGGGCAAACTATTTCATGTGGCCTGGGATGTTATAAAGTATGCCATGCATGTTAATCTCTCTCTATTGATGGGTGTTTAAAAATTGCAATTAATCCATTTCATGAAAGTATATGTTTTTTTTTAAACAATCTGATTTTTGTAGAAGGTTCTTAAAAGCATGAAACAGACCATATATTTCTTATCTGATGCCTGTGGTATCCCATCTTAAGGATTTGAGATTGTGCACATTCCATTAGTGTTCTCATTCCTGCAGCTCCAGAGCAATTAGTTACATGGCATTAATGGCTCAAGCTCTCTGGTATTATGGACTGACCTCCTTGCATAGAGAAAATTGGTTCCAAATGGTGTTTCATGTTTACTTTAATAAATGGATGAAAGGGATGAATGAGGAATTTTGCAATTAACAAGCTAAATACATTTAATTTCTATTAATATTTAATAGACATCTACCTTTCAGTTTGTAATTCCTATGAAAAACGGGGACGTGAGATTTGAAAGCAGACGGAAATGAGTACGTGCCTTGGGAGTGATAAATTCGTAACAGCACTATAGAATATGGCGACAGCTAAATGCTCAGTATTAAAGCCTGGAGGTTACGGCTTTGAACTGAAGGCTGTGGCCCAGAGGCCCTTGGATTCAGCTCTCAGCCCCTTGAGGATGACAGTATAGAAGGAAATATTAACTAGAGGCCTGACATTTTAAATCCTCATAGAGGCCACTGCCATTTCATCCTCCAGCAGGATTTTTAACCCTTATTAGTTAGCTCAAGGCTAGTGGAGACCAGAGAAACTCGTGCATTTACATTCTCTAAGGACTTGAGAAAAGACAGGGCTATAAATCGACATTTGAATGATGGTACTTGTTAGCAAGCATATAAAAGTCAAATGGAATTTGTACTGTCTATGTTGCTCTATTTCTACACGCTGAATTGTTTAGTCCTGAATAAAACATGACTAGTGTGCATTTTTCTTTAATAAATCCAGGCTAGCTTACCTATACAATTTGGGATAGTGTCATTCCACTGCGCCAGAGCGTTAGGGACTATGTGACACTTGATGGCTTTGGATCCCTGGAGGAGGTATCCAGGGTTGCACTCGAAACGAACAATGGAGCCAGCTGAGAATTCGGACCCGATCCGCCTGCCGTATCTGGGCTCTGGGATGGAGCTGCACTGTGTATCACTGGTGCGTGGAACAGCTAGTGGACAGGAAACAGATCTCTAATCAAAATGGACCAGATGGATGCTTGGAAACACACCGGCTCGGTTTCAAAACCTAGTAAGTTGCATTGACATTGTTACAAAACAAGGCAGACAAATGCTGTTCTTTTGAACTTTCTCTTCAGCAAGGAATCCTGAAAAAAATGTAACAAGGTTTCCACAAAAATATTGCTAACACTTTACAATAAGGTTCCTTTTTTTTTTTTTTTTTTTACATTAGTTAATTACATTAGATAACGTGAACTAACAATGAAAAATTGAATGAATTTAAAGAGAAGTAAGACTTTAGTTTAGGGACCAATTCTCGCTGTTAACTAGTCGCTTATAATTAACTAGTCACATGCATATTACTAGCATATTGGCAGTTTATTAGTACTTATAAAGCACATATTAATGCCTTTTCCTGCATACCTAAACTTAACAGCTGCCTTACTAACTATTAATAAGCAGCAGATAAGGAGTTTATCATAATTAATAGTTAGTTAATAGTAAGAATTGGTCCCCAAACGAAAGTGTGACCAAAGGATACATAGACAAATAATCAATGTTCCTAACACGCAACTCACAGAAAACTCGACTCATTATTGGATACCAGTTTTCCATTACTATGTTGTTAAAATAATGTCCATTTCTACTTTTGATAGTTTAAAAACAAATGGACATGTTTGTATCGATAGTTTTCAGTTTTGCATGAATCAAAAGCAACAGTTTTGTCTTTATAATTGCACATATGTAGCTTTTGAAACACAGATAACCACATTTGTAACCTATTGTATGTTCACCAGTGCAGCGGTGTACACTGTGACTACTTTAGCACTCTTTTTATAGAAAACCCACATATATATATATTTATCTAGCACACCTGTATAAGCATCTTCGTGACCCTAACACAGAGAACTTTGCTGGTTTTGCTTGCAAACATCGTAGCAACTTGGTTGTTTTTTTTCTGTTTGTGCCTTAACTTTCATCTGATGGCTGTGAATATATAGGAAGAGGCTGGTGGGACCATCCACCATCACCTGGATGCCTCCATGAGCCAAATGAACTGTCCTAACTGTCAAAGAACATTTCTCATACACCCGCTGTTCTCTCTGCGCCCATTGCAGTACACTATAAAACGGCGAGGAGAGATATAAAGAGACATAGCAGGCTTGCCGCGGTCTGTGCTGTGAGTGTGTGCGCACGCTGATGCGGCCATGAAAGATTTCTATTGTATCTTTTTATAAGGCAGCTGATAAAGGGAGTTAAAAAGCATACTGTAATTTATACACTAATTTATGACGTCTTTTAAAACGAGGGAAAATGCCTTGCGGCGCACTGCTGCTGTCTGGGGAGTTTGACACGTCAGGGGTGAATCATTTAAAGGAACAGTTCACTCAAAACTAATTTACTCACCCCAATGAGCAAAACATTTGTTAAAGTATTTATTAATCTTTGTGGTAACACTTTAGAATAGGGAACACTTATTCACTATTAACTGCGACTTTTCCCTCAGTAAACTCCTAATTTGCTGCTTATTAATAGTTAGTAGGTAGTTGTTAGGTTTAGGGATTCGGTAGGATTAGGGATGTAGAATAAGGTCATGTAGAATAAGGCATTGATATGTGCTTAATTACTACTAATAAATGGCTAATATTCTAGTATTGTGCATGCTAATAAGCAAGTAGTTCAGAGACCCTAAAATAAAGTGCTACCATCTTGGTTAACATTAGTTAATAAAAATACAGCTGTTCATTGTTAGTGCATGTTAGCTCAGGTCCATTGACTAACATTAACAGATACAACTTTCATTTTAATAATGTATATGATGTAATAATAAACTAAGATTAATAAATGCTTTAGAAGTATTTGTCATTGTTAGTTAATGGAATATTTAATTGGGGGTAATACTTAGTTTTACCAATTCTCCAATTCAGTAGGGACAACAATCATAGTTCTCACTATGAACTAGTTGCTTATTAGCATGCATATTACTAGCATATTGACTGTTTATTAGTACTTATAAAACACATATTAATGCCTTATTCTGCATGACCATATTTTAGATCCCTTAATCCTACTCCATACGGAAACTTACCAACTACCTTACTAACTACTGATTTTCAGTTGATTTTGATTGCTTCCATTGTCCTCATTTGTGAGTCGCTTTGGATAAAAGCATCTGCTAAATGACTAAATGTAAATGTAAACTATTAATAAGCAGCAAATGAGGAGTTGATTGATGTAAAAGTCATATTAATAGTTAATTAGAGACCTTTTTGTAGTTAGTAATAGTGAAGATTGGTACCCAAACTAAGTGTGACCATATGGAATATGATACACTGAAATACTAAAACCAAAGTGGCAAAAAAAGGATGGGGAGAGGGGGAAAAAATACTGAGAATGAGAATAGCGCAGAAATCATTCTCCCATTCGTCTTTACTCAGAGCTAAATGCTTTACAAATTATATCAAATTGAAGCCTCTTCCTCATTTGACTCTATTGTGTATTGGTTATGACATTGTGATTGCGGCTGTTAACTTCTCTGTGTGAAATATAAAGGCTATTTCCCTCAGTAAGCTGGCTCAGGCATACTGATCAGCAGGCCGCCCCGGCGCTTCAGAGGCGTGATTTCACCCTATACACGGTGCCAATATATTCACAACGCAAACACAAAGGCTAGAATGTTTCGGATTTGAAGATTAGAAACAAAGCCTTGGCTCTGCACAAGGACCTGTTATTGACTGAATGTTGAGTGCTCGCTTACCTTGGTAAACAAAATGAAAACCTTTGGCGGACGGGCCGCTTTTTGCGCTGAATCTCAGCATGATTTGGTTTGAGATGGCCAAGGGCAAGGTTTCTCCTGCAAAAACACAATAGGGCAGATGTTAAAGTCTCTTAGAGTTGCTTGTGGAGGCGAATGTGCCGCAACAAACTAGTCTTAAGGTAGCGTAGATGACAGATGGCTTAATAACTCGAATCAGCCTCCGGGGCAAGGGTGGAGAGAGCAGGTCAATGGGCCTAAAACGGATGGATATCCAAAGAAATACTCAAGCTGTCTGCAGCATGTTCAAAGATGCAGCGGGTAAATTAAAAAAATTAAACCAACCTAAAGGATGACTGACTTGCCCTTGAGCTAAACGTTGAGCATTCGGATCCAAAATCAAAGCATACTTTTACAAAGTTGTATCCAAAGGAAGAAACAAAGTGCTGATATAGATGGCGCCTGAAACACTACAGTTGAGCCTTGAGGGTTAAACACTCTAACTATGAATTGAGTGGCCTGTCAGGATTTCTAGCCCACTGCTCACAAAGCTGAGATAGAAATTATATGAATTTACAGCGCTTCCCGTGGGAATATAGTATTGCACAGCAGACCATGAAGATATACAGTATAAAAATGCCACACAAACTGTTTGTGTCCAATGGCTGCCATCAATCCTGCAAAGACTGAGGAATTAGCAGTGATTTTCGTTTTCTTGGCATTTTATTACCTTTCACTCAATAATACCGACAATAATTCAGCAGGAAGCTGCAAGGATGACATTTTCTCTTCAGAAGAAATTAAACAAGTCTGGAGCCAATGGGCGAAAATGACAACATGGATCGCAAAAAAAGTATTTGGACACTTAAACCACACTTAAAAATGTATGAATGCCATGAATAATAATAATAGTAATAAACAAAACAAATAAAAATCTAAAAATCAAACCAAGCAGCATTCATTTTAAAGATAGCACAAACTTACTTTTCAGGGTTTGTTAGGTTTGAAAATATAAATTAATAATAATACTGTTCAGAATGATGGGGGGAGAAATGGACACTGTTTGTCAGATGTTAATGGATCACATTGATAGTTATGGTGATTCTATTCTCATTCATGGTTTCATAATCAGTATTATTTAAAGTATTTTATAGAGCATTTTATAGAATTTAGACCTTTTTTGGGGGGGG